TACTCTGGGAAGCTGAGGTGGGAGAACTGCTTGAGCTCTGGAGTTGGAAACCAGCCCAAACAAAATTGAGACCCTCATCTCTACTAAAAATGGAAAAATTAGCAAAGCGTGGAGTCATGCCCCTGTGGTCCCAGCTACTTGGGAGGCTGAAACAGGAGGATCACTTGAGCCTTGAAGTTGGAGGTTGCAGTGAGCTACAATGATGCCTCTGCACTCTAGCCTGTCAGGGGGAGACTCTGTCTCCAAAAATTGAAGAAGGATAGCTTCCCATGGTCTAAGAAAGTCCTAGAAGCTAAGGAGGGAGCTTGAGGAGGCCTGTGGGAACAGGACACCAAGCAGAGGACACAACTCAGTGCAAAGACCCTGGGGCGGGACTACGCCTGGCTTGGAAGTGCAGCAAAGGACAGGGCAGGTTGTGCAGGGTCTGATGGGCCTAAAGGAGGACTTGGGCTTTTCATCAATGGTGCAAGTGTGGGATGATTTTTGAGCTAACATGGCCATGATTCCATTTAGGTCTTACTAGAATCCTTCTGGCTGCTGGGTGCAAAAGGACAAGAATGGAAACAGAACAGTTGATCATCATCTTATTAGTGATTGATCCTTTTTATTGTTATTTATTTATGGGGGGAGGAAAAAGAGTCTTACTCTGTCACCCTGGGTAGAGTGCCCTGACATCATCATAGCTCTTAACAACTCAAACTCCTGGACTCAAGTGATCCTCCTGCCTCAGCCTCCCCAGTAGCTGGGACTACAGGCGCTCTCCATGACACCCACCTGGTTTTTCTATTTTCAGTAGAGAGGCGTTTTGCTGTTGCTCAGGCTGGATCTGAATCATTGAGCTCGCGGTATCCTCCTGCCCCAGCCTCTTAGAGTGCTAGGATTGCAGGCGTGACCCCCCCACCCCACCCCCACACCCGTGCCTAGTGTTATCATTTTTGATACTGTTATTAGTAAACTACTAGATGCTCTCCAGGGTTGGGGGCGGGGTCTCCCGGTGACTGCCTGTGTGGCCCTCTCCAGGCCAATCCGGAGCCGGCAACAACTGGGCCAAGGGGCACTACACTGAGGGCGCGGAGCTGGTGGACGCCGTCCTGGACGTGGTGCGGAAGGAGGCCGAGAGCTGCGACTGCCTGCAGGGCTTCCAGCTGACGCACTCGCTGGGAGGCGGCACGGGCTCAGGCATGGGCACGCTGCTCATCAGTAAGATCCGCGAGGAGTTCCCCGACCGCATCATGAACACCTTCAGCGTGGTGCCCTCGCCCAAGGTGTCGGACACGGTGGTGGAGCCGTACAACGCCACCCTGTCCGTGCACCAGCTGGTGGAGAACACGGACGAGACCTACTGCATCGACAACGAGGCGCTCTACGACATCTGCTTCCGCACGCTCAAGCTGACCACGCCAACCTACGGAGACCTCAACCACCTGGTGTCGGCCACCATGAGCGGGGTCACCACCTGCCTGCGCTTCCCAGGCCAGCTCAACGCCGACCTGCGCAAGCTGGCGGTGAACATGGTGCCCTTCCCGCGCCTGCACTTCTTCATGCCGGGCTTCGCGCCGCTCACCAGCCGGGGCAGCCAGCAGTACCGCGCACTCACGGTGCCGGAGCTCACCCAGCAGATGTTCGACGCCAAGAACATGATGGCCGCCTGCGACCCGCGCCACGGCCGCTACCTGACGGTGGCCGCAGTGTTCCGGGGCCGCATGTCCATGAAGGAGGTGGACGAGCAGATGCTGAGCGTGCAGAGCAAAAACAGCAGCTACTTCGTGGAGTGGATCCCCAACAACGTGAAGACGGCCGTGTGCGACATCCCGCCCCGAGGCCTGAAGATGGCGGCCACCTTCATCGGCAACAGCACGGCCATCCAGGAGCTGTTCAAGCGCATCTCAGAGCAGTTCACGGCAATGTTCCGACGCAAGGCCTTCCTGCACTGGTACACGGGCGAGGGCATGGACGAGATGGAGTTCACTGAGGCCGAGAGCAACATGAACGACTTGGTGTCCGAGTACCAGCAGTACCAGGACGCTACTGCCGAGGAGGGCGAGTTCGAGGAGGAGGCGGAGGAGGAGGTGGCCTAGCGCCACGCCATCGCTGCCGCTCTGCCGGCCCTGGGCACCTGCCCTCCCTGGAACCCCACTTCCTCCCTGTTCCTCAGCCAACTCAGCTCTGACCCTGTGCCATTTCTTGAATGTCACTTTGCCCTGGCCCTGACAATGCCTTTAGAGCCTGCTTCACCTCTGACCTTGCTTCGCCTTTGACTCTGAGCCCCATTTTATCTTTGAACTCCCACAAGCCCTTCTAATTTTAACACCTCCAAGAGCCCTGCTTCATTCCTGACCCCATAAGCCCTGCTCTGACTTCTTCACCTTTAACCCCCCATGAACCCCATTTCCCTTCTAACCTATAAGCCTTGGTTTAATTTTGACCCCTCCTTCTGAGCCTCACTTCACCCCTGACCTTGACCCCCTGGGCCCTGCTCCCCTCCCCTTCCATAACCCCCACAGCCTCCCTGACCTCACCCCTCTCAACTCCTGCCCCCTTTACCTTACCCAGGGTGGTGGGATGCTTCTTCTAGGATAAAAACGAGGCCTGGTGCCAATGAGGAAGAGAGGCCATCCTCCTGACCCCCCCCCTCCTCTTCCCTGCCTTATAATAAAGTAATTCTTGTCCTGGACACCTCTGCCTCATTCATTTTTCATCTCCTGTGCACTGAGTGAAGGATTTGCCCTCCAAGGTGGAGGTGGGTGCTGACATCTCACTTCTGGGTGGGAAGAATGCTCAGAAAGAGCAGAGACTTTGGAGTCAGACCAGGCTATGCCATAACGAACCACATGGTGTCTTCTAAGTCATTTGTGCTCTCTGAGCCTGTTACCTCACCTGTAAAATGGGCTCAGAGGTTTCTCTCCAGGATCCCCATCTGCCCACCTCAGGGCTGTTTGTGAGGGTCCAAGGAGATCTTGTGGACAGAGTAGGTGCTCGTCAATGGAGGCACTGCTATTCTCCGTGAGGCACCTTGCAAGTACAGAAGGCAGGAGGAGGATGCTCCAGGAAATGGTGCCAGAGAGATGTGCCCCCAAGCTAGTGCCTGAGTGGCAGTCACACACAGGGAGTTCTACAGTGTGCTAGCTCATGCCTCACAACTGCCACGTAAGGTCTGAGCTCTGATCCCCTTCCCTACTAAGGTTCAAAGCAGTGTTTATCAACCCTTTGTATCTCACAACACACTCGAACCTGTAGTTAAACTTTCACAGCACACTTAAATTACGTTGATTTTAAAAAAATGACTTAAAAAAAGGATATACTGGGCAGCACCTGTGGCTCAGTGAGTAGGGCGCTGGCCCCATATCCCGAGAGTGGCGGGTTGGAACCTGGCCCTGGCCAAACTGCAACACGCACATGCACATGCACACATATGCACACGCCAGCTCACTTCCACTTTCTAAATGGCTCATGAGCATTTCCAATTGGTAGAACCAATTCTGCTGTCAGAACTGGAGCTCCAAAGCATCTGGGAAATGTGGGCTTTTTAATTTTCCAGACTGCATTAGGAAGGCAAACCTAAGGAAGAGAAGGAGTGAAGGAGGAATGCTGAGAGACAATCAATTATGTCCTGCACTCTAAAGAGATCACCAAACTTGCACAGGGCCTCGGCCCTCTTACTGGGTCTACCACAGCCAGGATTAAGGAGACACGTAAGGAAAGTGTCTTGGATGTCAGCCTCTGATTGTACTTCATCCTCTAAAATGGAAGAATCACACAGGTCAGCCCTGCATCATTGTCAAGACTGAGCAGAAAAGCATTTTCCTTGGCTATCAAAACTTGTCTCTCATCAGCGCAGATGAGAAGGAAGGAAAATAAGATGAAAGCAGCGGCCACATAGTAAATGTGTGCCAAAATGGATCCTGAGGCTCGGCGCCTGTGGCTCAAGCGGCTAAGGCGCCAGCCACATACACCTAAGGTAGTGGGTTCGAATCCCCAGCCCGGGCCCACCAAACAACAATGATGGCTGCAACCAAAAAATG